AATTATCTGTAGATACCAGATTAAAATATTAAATATATATGGATTCTCTCAAAAACGTTATTAGCTATACATCCTTCTAAGTTGAAATAAGATTTCCATAAATCTTCACAATCAAAATAAACAATATAAGAAAACTGAATTAGTATTAGCTTAAAAAAAAGGAAAATTCTATGCGTGATACAACTTGTGCATAGTTTAATCTCTGCTTTGAACTGTATCATGATTTTGAATCTTTAAAGTGATTTTCTGTATTTTTTAAAACGTTCTTCCTTTTCTGTTTTTATAAGTAAATGCGTTGAAATCTCTAATTTTAAAAGAGAACGTAATGGAAAAAAATAAGTCGTTTGAAACTTTGTAGTTATGCTTAATCATAATACGGTAATATATTTGTAATATCTCGTGGATTTGTTAGAATTAGACATTAACACCATTGGATGCCGGCTCAGTAGTCTAAAGGTTAAGCGATCACGAGCGAGACTGATAGGTATTGGGTTTGAATCCCACGAGCGGGATCGCGGATACGCACTGTTGAGGATTCCCATACTAAAATGAGACAGTCGTCTAGTGCTTCCAGGTTTTCCATGGTGATCTAGCTTCAATTGACTCATGAATTCAACTATTAAATAGCTCAAACTGTCGAACATCGAATTTTTGACATTCTAGGATTTTATGTATTTCGTTTCTGTAAGTGAATAAATAAATGAATTAAATTACAATTTCAGATAGAATAAAGAGTAAAACACCAAAATATTTTGTACAATGGAAACACGTCAGATCATACTAATGTTATGTCATTCATGTCAAAGCTGTATATATTCGTATGACATTCTCTAATACAAAAAGTAACACAGTTAACACAAGCTAAATCTGTAGATAGGTTGAATATATATCATTACAAAATATCCCATCCATGTTTGTATTTCTGTCTAAATATCTCAACTAATCTACTTCTTTCGTATTTTGTTGAAATCACTATAGATAATCAATAACGTTACGTGTACTTACGTGCTTTTATTATTAGTACGGTCAAATTTTGTGACGATACTAGATAGTGGAAGATTCAAACAGAAACACTGCACTTGATGGCATATTTTTCGTTTCTTCTATCCACTGATAAAACGGAAGACATATAAATTGGAGTTGTGGTCTCTTTTGGTGTGGTGGATAGAGAAATAGTTCTAGAAGATGAAAATATAGAGAACTACATCAATTGAAAACATTTTTTACATGTATTTTAAGTAATTGTAACGTGTATGTAATAAACAGATAATTGTTGTAATGATGTAACAATTGTGATGAGAATTCTGTACTGCATTACAACTTACAGTAATGAATTAACCTATTATTATCCATATAAAAACTAATGAGGCCATAAATATAAAACTCAGTATGTTTAGTTTAGTTAAACTGATAAAATTATTCTGAATGGACTAATCTCAAGAAGCTATTTTAACAACTTTAATACTAAGGTAAATGTTATTTTGACATGAATCGTTATTGACGTTTTTCAGAGGATTACATGTTTGATACATCGTTTTTTAGCAGACACAGAGATTGTGGTGTCTAATCCTATGTCAAGACCACATAGGTTATTCTATCTTTTGAACAGATTAGTGTATTTATGTTTCTCGAGTTATATTTTGACCTTGACAACCACGAAATAAAAAGTGACGTGTACTTTTTTCTCGAATAATTGGTTTGAAATAAATGGAATATATGGTGGTTCTGTGGCTTTACAATTTTGGTAAAACTTGTCTATATGAGATAATTTATTGTCTTTTAATACTTATTGTCTTGTCATTATTTGGAAGGCAATTGTGTCGATCATAAATGGTGATTAAATGCTACTTGTACTAAATTATATGAAATGTATCGATTTTACAACAGTTAATCCAGTTGTTTTTGTTACGAAATATTCATTGCATCAGTAAAACAGTTTTCGTATCATCAAATCTGAAAATACAGCGAAGAATTCGGGAGATATGCATAAACTACTACCATCGTATATACAACTAAAAGAAGCTAATATGTTAAGAAAAAGTTGCTTAAAAGTTATTCTTCATTAGATTACTGCAGGATAGATTTATACAACAGTTAACTAAACTGGTTAAGACTAGTAATCAAAATGATGTATTAAGTTGAGAGAGATACTTTTAACTGAATTGACCGGTAATTTTAGCAATCTTTTTCACTTAATTTGTTTAATGTTCCAATTGAACCAGTATTCAGTGGTATGAAAAATAATTGGAACCGAATGAAAGATTCTTTTAAATAAACATGTCACTAAATCATCGGTTTGAATAAAAATGGGTTCTTCATAAAAAATTTTCAATGACAAAGAGTTGCCGATTCATAAAACTTTACCTCTGCATTTATTTTCAATGGTGATTTACTGTTTTAATTCGGACAAGAAATATCGAATGAAAAAAATGTGAAATGATTGATCATGGATGTTGTTGCTACAGGGTTTATGTAAACTAATATTCATTCATAAGTATATGGTTTATACTGTTTCAAAGAATTGCTTGTTCTTTGGTTTTCAAATAGGTTAAAGTCACTGCTATGTTCAAGCCATAATGAAAATGTGAATATTTCTTGCAAATTTGTGTTTACTTAAATAAATTAAAGTAGTTTGATAAATCAACCGAAATTATTCAGATTTGTTGTGTTTACATAACAGGAAATGCGTGAAAGAAAGTAGTTTGAAACAAGATGTTATACGAACAATTTTTATTACTTTTAGTTGAACGAAATACATGTATGGATTTACTCTTCATGTGTTCACATGTTACATTCACCAAAATCTGTGCACTTTGATTAGGTATAGTGTTTTCAGTTGACTGAATTAAAACATATACGGTTTTCGAAATAAAAACTTATTATGGAACTTCACATTTAACCTACATTTTCGTGATTATATTATTCATATATTGTTAATCATCCTGGAAATCTTGTTTCTCAGCTTTTCTCACGAATTTTTTGAAGAAATCACACAGTATTCATACACAGTATTTGTCGTCATTCAGATAATAGATACAGGATGATGTAGTTGTTGAGTTCAGACTATTAGGATTCTTATCGGGTTGAGGTTTTGATAAATAAATATCAAATATGAAATGTGTGAGAGTTAAAAAACGTAAAAAATATTGCTTTCTCTAAAAAAAGAATACCTTGGGACAAGGTAATAAAGCCACCCACGTTTGGCTGTATGAAATCTCGAAATCAATAAAATGGTATGTGTCAGGAAACATATCAAATACTAAGTATTATATTAACGCCTAATATGTGATGAACCGAATAATCAATTATTAGATTTGCCAAAGAGACTAAACAGTTTTTCATATCAACGATCAAGTACAACTAAAAAAGATTGTGTATTAATTTTGTATCTAGAAACTTTAAAAACTTGTACACTGTATACCTTTTGATCTTATTACATAGAATCACTCACATTAGCACCTCTCCTTAATGGGAGAATCGATATTCCTAACTAGAAAATATATGATAAGATGTATGATTGCTGTACGAAATACTACTTAAATCCTTTAAAAAACTAAGTAGAGCTTAGACTCTGAATAATGTAACAATAAAACATGAGTAATATGGTTTCGAAATAATGTTTAATAGAAGTGATCAGTGTCATGGTTTTAAAAGGATGTGAATAGTTCCATGGGATAAAATATTCATTAGTACAAAAGAAATTAGTTATTCTATGAACACTTGACGAAGCATCTACACAATATTACATAACCAACACACAAGTAATTGTAAACCATCAAGTTATTTACAAAGTAATTTATAGAGTACATATTTATAGTTCATGCTACTTATGTTGACAGATATACGTAGTATGTACCAGAAATTGCAAGTGGAATGCCTGCGAGTAGAAGACTGAGAAGATTGTACTGAAGCAAACAGGAAGGGAGACAGAGAGCAGTTGTATATAACAATATAATTAAAATAAGCATTAGGCATATAAAAGACAACTAATGGAAGATGTACAAATAATGTATTCAATATATGGTCTTCATATTTTATGAACACACCCTGTAATTTTGCATTGAATAATAAATTGGTTTTCTCCACCTGAGTTCTTGTTCACTATATATATAAACATCTACCCATTATGATATCCATATATACAAATTCTTTCTAAAAGATTCACAATGTACATAAAGTATTTGATAGTAGTAATAATAGTAATGATAATAAATTTACGTCTAGCTGACGAATTACTAATTAAGGCTTTCATACAATAAATAATACATTTGCATAGAATATTAACACAAACTACAACTCTATCCTTTGAGATAAGGTTTCTTCTTCTACATTCAAATGATTAATTTTGATAGAAAGTCAATCAAAAATTAATGAGATCAAGACATGAAGTCTTGAAGTTATTCATTTAAATATACAGAAATATTCTTTACTTATCATAATTATCATTAATAATCAAATAATAATTAATCTTGTCTAAATAGCTATAAATCGTCCAATCAAACTGTGAATTTCCAAATCTTAACAAATGAACTGACCAATGAAATTTAACTTCTGAAAAATTTGCGGTAAATTCGCTTATGTTAAGGTCTAATCAACAGTAATTGAATAGTTTAATTAGTTAGAATGCAATCATATCAAAAACATGAATACTATTGATTCAATTTATGATTCAATTTATAAAATTTTAAAATAGTTCAAGGAATAGTGTCATTTATTTGTTACCAAGTTATGGATGGTTGTGAAAAAAATATAAATAATGTTCATATGTTTATGATTTATGTAAAGCTCATGTGGATAATACAATGTGATTTATGCATTTTATCGATTCCAGATTGATATTAATGATCACCTACAATCTTCATCGTCGTCAATATGAAAATGTATCTTATAGTGTTGGTAAATGCAAAATAATAAATTATTAACCATATAAAGTTTACCAATCATATACAAACATCAGTTTAATTTGGAAGAAGCTACGGGTTTTAAACCTGTTGAAAACAATGAAGCAATCATCAAAACGCAGCTCTCGAATATCTTCTCGATGTTTTCAATCTATTATGTTCTTCAGTCTATCAATGATTGGTATTCAATGTGCGAGCCCACAAAGTAAGTCAAGTTATATTTTACGGACTTAAAGTAAACATTCAAGTCAATATTAATTAGGACCAACTTGATTAGACTTTATTAGTTGATTTATGAGAAAAATTTCACCTAAATACCTTAAATCACGTCTCGCTTACTATAAATTTTGAAGGTAAAATCGTTTTGATAGACAGACCTATCTCTTTTTCACAATGTTGTAAGATAAAACATGAATACTTAATCTTAAGTTTACTTCTTCAACAATTTTATTCATTCAAATCATCCTTATGAATCTAGTCTATAAGTTTGAGCACAGTACTTGAAGTGCCATTTTCAAAAGGATACTTTCACTTGTTCATTGTAATGTTTTTTTTACCGATTTAAAGATGAATAACTTATCTTCCAATTCACTGAAGTCAGCATTATCATTTTGATTGGTTCATGGAACGTTTAAATGAGTCTGCGTTGTTCTAGTAAGCATATATGATTTAAAATACTATGTGACAATTCAACATAAAACCATGCAATCGATGAAAGGTTATGAATTAAATGCGGCAGTAACATAATACATAACAATTAGAGATCAATAAGAGTTTTTAAATGCATTAAATAGAAATCTTTATAAGGATAATACTCGGTTAAAAAATCCCAATAGTGTTATATTTGAAACTATTATGTTTTATGTTCATCCCCATGTGGATATGGGACCTTAATTACCATGCTTTATCACTAAGTATAATGTTAATAGTAACGTTCTTTCTACTGAAGTAATATATTTATGACTGACTAGCAAGCGTCTTTAACTTCCTAATTATGTATCCTGGATAAAAAAGAAATAAATAAATCTAATATATCTCTATTCAATGCTAAATAATATGGAATGTCAAAATCTAGTTTACTTTAAGTAAAGACCGTATATCATAAAAAGTGAATAATGAATTATATAATCAACCTACCAAAAACAACAAAAAATATTCTCTTGTTATCATTTCACTAACCCGCCATAATGAATTTCTTATCTTTCGCTTATTAAAAGATTTATCGGATTCAATTTAATAAATAATCCTGACATGTTTTATTTATTCATTGTTTTTTTTTTAAAAATACACTTTTACTAGAAAAAATAAAGAAGGAACAATTGTGATTGTTCTTATCTCTGGCCTACTGCCTAAACGAATTTATTCAGTGTAACATATTGTTAGAACTTCCTATTTATTATTTTTTTTTCTTGCCTCTTTTTGATTATCAAATTTCAATGTAAACAGTAGTGAAACACCTTTTCTGACATGAAATCTAGTATAGTTTATTATTATTATGTAAACCATTGTGTTATTCCTTTCTTCCCAATAGCATTGTACAGTATTGTGAATATATCTACAATCTATTTTTAGTCACAAAAGTTTCATTTGGGATTTATTGGAAATAGGAAAATTATGTATGAAAATTAACTTTAATATGTTAGTCTAAACAGTTGATATATCAATATATATATATATATATATATATATATATATATATATATATATATATATATGCAAATGAATAGTGTATCAATATGCATTGATATATGTATTTATAGTAAGTATCCTATTACAGAATGGCTTCCTCATCATCATCATCTTCTTCTACTTCTTCTTGTTCTTCTTCCTCCATATTATCCTATTATCGTAATAATTAAATTATTCATGAAGTAAACAAAATAGTTTGTCCATTTCTACCTTATACCGACATCATAAATCTGATAAAGATGAATACAAAATAGTAAACATCCAATAATTTTTACTATGTGGCTTTATTTCTAGTTTATATTTGTCAAAGTGAGTTGATCTATGCAAATAATAAAAACTAACCCTGTTAATTATCAAAGTAAAGTTATTGTGACAATGAAAGTAGTTTGAAAAGAAGGAAAAAAGACGAGAAAGTATTTATCATTCTTACAAAAAGAAAAAGAAGATAGAAGCAGTTTTCTTATCCGTAGTGATCAAGGGTATCTTTTGATCAAGCATCACTTATATTAGATGCTTAAACATATGTGCATATATCAGAGATGTGTTATTGCATCTAATACATAAATATCAATAAGAAACACGTTTAAACGGTTATTATGGTGGGTAAGGTATTTTGGTACATAAAAAACGATTTGATCATGTCATTTAATGTGCTGACTTATATTGTGCAAATCACAAAAATATCACATTTCAAAAAAGGGGAATATAAATTTAGATAACCCACTTTTAAGTAAATTTATCGTTTATTATTTTCGATCACAAATATCAGGTGTTTTTGATGTTTTCTTATATTACTGATCATAAGCAGATGCACTTTATTTGAGATCATGAATTGATCAATGTTAGAGTACCACTCCAGACCTGGAAGCGCGGAACGGCCGTTTCGTCCTAGTATAGGACTTCTCGGCAATGTGCATCAACGATAGCACGCGTGAGATTCGAATCCAGGAACTTCGGCATCTGAAGGTGTTGATGTCTAACTCCAACCAATCCACGATATCACACAACCATCTTCTATTTTCTCCAGTGGGTAACTGCCTAACACTCGACACGGATTTGCTGTGCTGGTCACGGCTTCTCACCAGAATTCCAAGAATTACCTCTTGACGATAGTTGCTAGTGAGCACATGATAATTATCAGTATAGGGTTGTAAAGATTGCTCAGTTTTGACAGTGATCATGAATCGATCAATGGTGTTCTAAAATTAATCAATTCATGATCTCAATCCAAACTGAACACTCTCCACGACGATACACTGATAAGTATATTTTATTCAAGCCTCAAACAATTGGCTGATAAACATCTTTGTAAAAATCTAATATCTAATCAATTTCTATACTATAAGGTGGTTAAGTCTATCTTTTTATGTTTCATTTTTAAATTTTCCGACATGTAAATGACTGTTTCTGAAAACATTTTAAGATGAAATAAATTGCAGCTATTTCATTTTAAATCCCATCAACCTTGCAGCTCTGCCTGTGTACTGTTAATTTTTAAGAAAATATTTTAAAGTTTCCTCAAATACTGTTTAATAAATACACGATATCGTTTAAATAAACCCAGTCAATGTCACTGACTTAGTTTAGAACAGTTATCACTAAAGCGATGAAAAATCTTCAACACAAGAGATTTAACTATCCGACTAAATAATTGTCTGATTAGTTCTCAAGAAATTTATTCAATTCATCAATTGATCTTATTTGATAATCTTACAAAAATCATTATAGTAATAAATTTATATTTCATCCTAGATTCTCACTTATACAAAGTGTTCACTCATTATTTAAGCTTATATTGAACTTAGAAGTTTTGGGTTATTACGGTTATTTTGTAACATTTTCAATAAGATGATCAACTGTCATGGATAATGCTCACAGATGCCTTTGTATAGATTTCCACTAACAGATAATAATAACTATTCACATATTCCTGATTGTTTAACAACAGAAATTTATCATCAAACTAAAGAAATCTTCTATCTTAACAATGATCTTTACGTTTTACCAAAATGAATATGTCCTGTAAAATATTTTCTATTCAACTAGTTTAGAGCAAAAATATAATACATATTTTTATCCAATACATCATATATGTGTACAAAATGTACGCAGATATATATATATATATATATAGTGAGAAGCCGTTACCAGTGGAGTTCAACCAGGTCTGTTGTGAGATAGTAACTCACTGAAGACAATGGTGTACGGTGGCGCAACTTCGTGGATTGGTTGAAGTTAGACATTAACACCGTTGGATGCCGGCTCAGTGGTCTAATGGTTAAGTGCTCGCGCGCGAAGCCAGTAGGTCCTGGGTTCGAGCCCCGCGTGGTGCGGGATCGTGGATGCGCACTGCTGAGGAGTCCCATACTAGGACGAAACGGCCGTCCAGTGCTTCCAGGTTTTCAATGGTGGTCTAGCTTCAACTGACTCATGATTTCAATCTGTGAAACATCATATATGTGTACAAAATGTACGCAGATATATATATATATATATATATATATATATATATGCAAACAGCTAGTCGGGCGAATCGTTTTTATATCCACCATTAAAATGACTACAATGGTTTTAGTTGTTTAACTTAATTTACATAACTTTTCAATATCACATTGTACAGATTACTTTTGTATACAGTTTTTATATGATGTGAATGTTTGTTATTTTTTTTTTATTTAAAAAAAGACTAAAATATTTGTACAATTTTCAAATATTTACAATCATGTATTTTGAATGTTTTCAGACATTGAATTCTTCCACTTTATCTCTATTCATTTCTTGTACTAAGATACTGTTCATGAAATGTTGACGTACAAAGATATATATGGTTACGTAATATATATATATATATATATATATATATATATATATATATATATATCTAGCAACATTCTATTCCAGCACACGCACATACGAATGAATTATAGAATATTACAGATTTGAAAAGTCATTGAATTTGCCTTTATAGCTTAATAATGCTTGCATATAACCTATTAGATCGAGAAGTTCTGTTTAATATCTTGAATTGATCAGTATCACTATTCTAATTCTAGTATATATCAATAGAAGATCAAATAGTTGATCAATGGAATGTCCTTGGAATCTTTCAAAATGTCAGAATGCAAAAAAAAATATTTTTTTAAGGATAAAATCTGTCTTTTATTTAAAATTCTGATACTTGTAGGTAAAAACGCTTTAGTTTGTCTATCGTATAATAGTTGTTATTTTTTTAATGGCTAAATGCACATGATAATTAACTTTTATGGTTAAGAAAAATAATCTGATGTTTTAAGTGTTGGGCTATTATTATTATTATTGTTATTAAGTTATGTTTATTTTAAATCACGTCAATAAATCATCCATCTAAGATTATTAGAATCATAATAATAATAATAATAATAATTTGTTCAAGTAATATTGTGTCTGGACGCAGTAGAAAATGTTCACTACTCCATATATCAGTACATTTAATGAAGAAATAATTCCCTCTAGTTTTCATCTATCCAAATCGAATCT